GTTATTGTTAGCAATTTGGTTATAACTCGAAAAAAGTTTTAAAGCTTCTCTTGTCGAGGAAGATCTAGAGAATGAAGGAAAAATCAATAATCGATATACAAACGTCTTCAAATTCGGTCAAATAATAATTACCGGTGTCCAAAGGGCCCAATTTCTGTAGAAGACGTTTGCTTTCTGTAATATCAGAAACTGATCTAACATTTGCTGAACTGGAATCTACTTCTCCAATAACTCCATTAGAACCATTCGACCTTCCAGGGAGTATGGGACCGGTAAGACCAGCTCTTGCCACCGCAGTCGCGTTGGCAACATTTCTAACAGTTGGGCCATTTTCTCGTCTTTCCAACAATAAATAATGCATCTGCATCCTTAGACTATGCCATAAATTCTTCAAGTTCTGCATTTCTCCTTGTATTCTCAAGCTTTCAGTCATCAACGCTACGTTTTGCCTTAGTTCCAGATCAGCCAAATCAGCATTTAAAGTTTCAATCTGACTCTTAAAGTGTGCATTATCCGAGAGTAGTAGTTCTTGTGCAGTTATAATTGAAGTTTCCCCTTCCAATCTTAGCGCGGAACCTTTTGATTCTAAGTCATATGACGGAAACTCGGAATTCAATAAATTAGATATTTCCGATATTTGAGTTTGCAATGATAAATTTGTTCTTTTGAGCTCTTTAATGGAAGACCGAAGTTGTTTGTTCTCTTGATCGAGAGTTTCCATCTGTTGTCTGTGAATCTTAAAGAATCCTTTTAAGGATTCAAATGGGCACTCAAGTATGTGTTTGTTATTCAAATCGTACAGGAGTCCCGACCAAGAACATCCAAATTCGGCGTGGTAACATGAAACTGGTTTTTTGGGACACTTCTCAAGATGTAAGCTATGTAGTGAAGGAAAATTTTCCACGTTGCAATAAGGGCATCCAACCTTGACGACTGCCTGACAACCTTCCATATGTTCTGTTAAATCTTTTTTCAGCACTGTCTTGCCACACTGGCACTCGAGCGAAGTGAACATGCACTCTCCTTTTAAATGAATGTTTATCAGTTGACGTTGTCCCTGATGTATACAACCTAGATCTTTATTAGGGCAATATACCAACAATTCGTTTACCATGTTGGAGATTATCTTTGAAGCTGGTTTAAGCTCCGATATGTCGGAAAGAGGAGAGCGATCAACCGGACAAGTTAGTCTTGTTAACAAAGCTTGTTCAATACAAGACCTACAGAATGTATGGCTTAAATTATGACAGCATGCAAATTGTAAGGCGATTTATTCTATGACCTTGTAAGAATAAATATGAAAAGTGATTTTGCTTATTTACCCGCAATTTTCCACGACCACAGGTTCAACGAAGGGATTTTGGCAAATACAACATATGAGATTAGAATTTATTGCTTCAACATAAAGAACGGAATGTAAGTCAAAGGTCGACATTGTTTGCTTGAAGATTTTGAATTCTAAATTATATACCATTTCATTTCTCGATAACCCGTTATGTATAATTACGTAATGTTCCTATTCTGGGATCACTATATAAAAAGTTGTTTGTATATAAGTATTTTAAAGTTTGAGTTCACTTATTTTTTTTCTTTTTTTTTGAAATGGAAAAATGCAAATACAAGAAATAATGATCAATAAACCATTTCTAGAATTTTGTGGACTATTTGAATTTATACTACTACTATCACTTTAATATTATAGATTGGTTATTCTTCAAAAGCTTCTTTAGTCAAGGACATACTACCTGTTCCTCAATATTTTCATATTGTAAAATTCAAACCACTCATTCATTAAATGACTTATTGTCCAAAAGAACAAATTGGATCAATCTAATTTATATATTAAGAAAGAAAATTCATCAATCCTTTTCAATTTTTCCTAATAAATGTGTTCAGGAGAAATACATCATCTCAAAAAAAAATTAATTACTTATTGATATACCTGTCATATAAACCCAACTTTACCATAGAAACTTGTATTTTGAATATTTACCTATTCATCAGAATTGAAGAAAGAACTTATTCAATAATCAAGAATAAATAATTATAATTATAAAATTTAATTATAGTATCTTATAATCTTTACCATAGTTATATGAATTCTTTTTTAAAGGAACCAGTAATGTAATTAATATAGTTTTCTATATCTATCTATACATAATCACATAACTTATAATAGATTTCAAGTTTTTATAGATCTGAAAAAATACATTCAGATATATAAGATAATCAATAAAAGCTTGTTTATTTCTTTTTACTAATATAAGTTTTATCTGTTCAATCACAATATGAAAAACTTTATGCTACTCAAAATTCAAAATAAAATTGAGATAGGCAAAATTCTTCAAAAAAATTAGAAACAAGTATTATTAGAGTAAAACAGATGATAAAGAGAGTGAAAAAGTTGTCTTTTATTCATTTAGATACTTTATACTATTTTTTTATAATATGAGATGATAGTACATTAGTTTTTCTTTCTTTTGAAACTTTTTTGTCATTAGTAA